ACTATTGGTTCTATTCTTTAGTGTTTTTAACCATTTAGTAGCATTTAGGTTAAATACTTGAAAAAATCTTTTAAGATTATGTCAAAAAAGACAATAATTCACACCAGCTGCCTTAATGCTTAAGATATATACTCGTTTCTGCATGTATAGATTAAACTTTTACTTGCAGCACTCCAATCAAAATCTATCAGAAAGTGTGAAACGCCTAAGATAAAATACCTTTGTATATTTAATTAGTTGCAGCGCATGTGGATTTATCAGTTCTGGTACAAGCAGTACCTGGCTGAAGTCTACATTCATAGTTTCAAGACAACCCTTCATCAAATTCATATCTCGAATTTGAAGCGTATATAAGCCAACTCCCCTCCCATTAAGTCCCTTCCAATTTTTCTAACAGGAAAAAAACCCAAGCAAAACCAACAAAACAACCCACCCCACAAAAGAAAACCACAACCCCCCAACAAAGAGCTTGAGGGTGATTTGTCTTCTTAAAAAGAGCCCTCCCTTCTTTCCTCCTCCAGTTCCAGATGGGAAAGTTAGACTTCTTAACCTTAACCTCATGCTAGAAAGGTGTATAACATGCCTAAGTGTAATTACATGTACAAAACTTCTGCCAAAGTAAGTTAAGCAAACAGCACCAGCTTTGGAAGAAAGCACCAAGCTGAATCCTTAACAAAAGCTTTATTTTTACCAATTTCAGAGCTTTTCTCTTTAAAAAACAGTAACAACCACACCAGCCCCCACCACACACAGAGAAGTCTTTTCTTTAGATTTATGACATTAGTTAGGAAAACCCTGCCAAGTTCAGCGCTTTACACCCACCCAGTTCTAAGCACAGCAGTTATAGATGCGGATCAGAATTTGTTATTTGTTTCTTCAGAGGAAGAACAGGAAGAACCACCACAGCCGAAGTAAGTACCGTGCTGGGAGCACAAGCAGCAGCTTCTGTCCCAGGCCTTTTGTGCCGCGGGGCTCAACCTGCCCGTCCTCAAGAGCCAGTCTGGGCTGCTGTGGCTGCATGCAATGCTCTCAGCACAGCGCCACAGCGCAACAGGCAGAGGCAGTGGAATGTAAATAAATCCACTGTCATTTTACTACACCAGTTCTCTCATTTTCAGCTTCTTCCCTGGGGGAAGGAAGAGCAATAACAACCTGAAACCAAGAGGAAGGAACCATGCTGCTTCCTACCAGCTCCAGTTCTCAGCGATTGCTTTCCTCAAGAGGCAAAGTTTCCTGAACACTAGTGGAATGCAAGCAGACTACTTCATGCCCTGCAAAAGCCATTTCCCCATCTATTGTCTTACCTGATCGGCATCCCATTACAGAGCAATGCGCATGCATAGCAAAAGAACAGAGAGGAAAGATGAGAACCAGGAGTTGTGTTGCTCTGTGCATTCCCCTTCAGTCTTGAATTACTGAGCCGCTACATTCCTGTGCATCAGGAGTATAGGGTCAGACTTACTGCAGTTCTAACCTCAACAAGGCTGTCCCTGTCTCGATCCTGGCAGCAAAGCTTGTTGCGTTATTTCAACAGGAAAGAAACAAGTGAAAAAAGGTGTTGCTATCTGCAGTGGGTTTGGTCCTGTCAGGACCAGGCTATGACTTTCCTCTTTTTTTTTTTTTAAGCTTAGGTCACATTGATACATTTTCTGATCTTCTTTAATTAGAACTGGATTCTTTCTTAATGCATAGTTTATAGATGCTTCAGGTAGTGGGGGAAAGTGAAGGAGATTTTATATTCACGTTAAAAAAGCTACGTAACACAATATTTAAAATTAAAGTCCTACCAATTAACATCATGACCAAGTTTGCAGCACCATACTTTTCAATTTCATGAATCCAGTGAGGAATGGATTCAAATGTGGACCTCCTAGTAAGGTCATAGGCAAGGATGGCCCCATGGGCACTCCTGTAATAAGACTGGGTTATTGTCCGGAAGCGTTCTTGGCCAGCTGTGTCCCACACTTGGATCTGTAAGAGAAAGGACAGAAGTTGTAAAGGCCAATGAATGCCACTTCCTAGGTGTCTGCCAGCAGCATCCACGCTTTTGAAACCCCTTGTCTAGACGACAGCCAGACCTGCCCCAGCTCACTCTGCTACACCATGTGTGGCTTTGCCCTCTCTGGATCTGAAGAGACATTTATGAGTCTGTAAAGTCAATCTACACAGACCAAAGAGGTAAGGTAAGGGTAAGCCCAGCTTTGTAAAGAGGCCAAGAAACCCAGTTTCAACAAATGTACTAAAAGATGTAGAGTATTACAGCCTTTTAACAGGAAAGGAAGTAGAGCAAAGAAGCCCTGATGCGGGACTGGGCAGAGCAAATCTATATAAAGGGCGGGCATCTGAACTTCCATCTGCACGCAGAGGGAAATTTTAGCTGACCATTTCTTCTGGTGTGCTGTCTTGGAGCCCTTTGTCCCTCAAATTAAGCACATATCAAAGTGAAGCCTTTGCAAATTAGAGGGTTTTCTCTCCTCGGCGTCCCAGCTTAAAGTCCCTACATCTCTGAAGGAGACAAGAGACATTCCTCCAAAATACAGCAGTCTTCCAAAGAACTCCCTGCAGGCAAGGCGTCAGCCCTCTCCTCAAGTAGACGCAGAGAAGTCACGAGAGCAAGCATGTACTCAAGTTAGGGTGACTGCCTACCCCAGGGCATGCTCCTGAGAGAAAACTCCCTTGGAAACACCCCTAGTCAGAAAGGCAGCCAGCTTTTGTCAGCTGCCTTCATTAGGGCCGAGCAGGAGATGCTGTGCATCCCACCACTCCCCGGCACCCGCATGGGAAAGGTGACAGGGCAAAGGTGCTGCCCACCAGAGTCTCGGGCTTCCTCCCGCCACGGACCTTCACTTTCTTGCCGTCGATGTCCATGGAGCGCACGGTGAAGTCGACGCCGATGGTGTTCTGCTGCTTCTCGTTGTACTGCCCTGTCTTGAAGCGGTGCACCACGCAGGTCTTCCCCACGTTGGAGTCCCCGATCAGGATGATCTTGAACAGGTAGTCGAAGGCATCGTCCGCGCCGGAGCCGGGGAAGGGCATCGCGGCTCCCCGGAGGGCCTGCGGCGGGAGCGGGGCGGCGAGGGGGAGGAGGAGCCGCGGGCCCGAGGAAGGAGCCCCCGTCCCGCCGCTCACCTGTCGGCGCGGCGCTGCCGGGACAGGTACGCCCGCTTCGCACCGCCCCGGCCCGGGGCCGGCGGGAGATGTAGTCCGGGCCCTCCCCTGCCCCGCCCCGCCCCGCCGGCCCGGGGGGCGCTGCCGGCGCCGCTCGCTGCCCGCCCCCGGACGGGAGGCGGGCAGGGCCCTTGGGCGGCGGCCGGGGCCGGACTACAGCTCCCGCCGCTCTGCGGGGCCGCCCGGAAGGGCCGCCTCCCTCCCGCCGACTTCCTTCGGCCGCGCCGGGCGCCGAGCGAGGTACGCGGAGCCGGGGGCTCCCCGGGGCGGTGGGGGGCGGTGCAGTGGGATGCGGTGCCGCGGGATGCGGTGGGGTGGGATGCGGTGCCGCGGCGGGGTGGCAGCGGTGGTGGCGGAGCCGGAGCAGGGGGCGGTGCGTGCCCTGCGCTGCCCGCTCGGCTCCGCTCCTCGCCCCGCTCGGACGTGGCCGCTCCGCCGCCTGCGCGGGGGCCGGGGCGGGAGGAGCCGCGTCCTGCTCGGCCGGGCGCGGGGGATGCGCTGCCGGGCTGCGGGCGCTGCCGCCGCTGCGGATGCGCTGCCAGGGCGGGCACGGCAATCGGACCGTGCTGGCGCCCTCCCGGTGCTCGGGCAGCCCCTGTTCTCCCCAGACAGCATCCGGCTGGGGCTCCGGGGTGGCGGGCGGTCTGCTGGTTCTGCCTGCGGAGGGCCCTGTGTGGGTTTGGGTTTGTGCTGCCGTGCTTCTGTCTGTTTGGAAAGATGGCGTAAGAGTAGGAGGTTTTGTTAGTTCGGGTTTAGTTTACTTATTTAATTATTTTTATGTAATTTTTAAGAAAAAAATCCGTTTGGTTTGCACTCTGTTAGTCCCAGGAATGTGAATGCTAGTCTTTCCTGCCGGCTTTGGGGGACGGCAGGGTAATATTAAGGAAGTTTATTTTGAACTTAAGGTGTCTTACTTTGACTTTAAGTGAAGGGATAAGAGAACGAAGTGGGAAGCTTAACAAATAAGGGTGAAAGCTTAACAGAAGCTTACTCAAAATATTGGCTAGCTGAAGATAAATAGTGCTAAACAGACAAGGTAGTCTTAATACCCTAAAAGTGCTCCACTTCCTTTCTTAAAGGCTTGTGCTTCATTGCCTTGAGTTCTATGGGTTATCCTGCTGCCTAGTTTTTGCTTCTCCTCCACTACAAACTTACTGCGGTGTTCTCAGAATATTTAGAAGACTAATTTTTGAGGATTAACCTCCTAGTTGCATGCTTTTCTAGCCTAGGGAGAATGCCAGTTTTGAATATAGAAAGGACAGCGTGAAGAAAAAGGGAAAACAAAATCTTTCACGGTCATCTCTACACTGTGAAAGTGTCCTGTGGCAGAAGGGCTTCTGAAAAGCTAGCTGAGACTGAGAAGCTCTGAGAAACAGATCATTTCAATAATAAATGCTATAGAATGATAGGTGACTTTAAGGTCAAGCTAGGTCTTAGCTTTAAAAGACTCAATATCTTGGACAAATAAGATCTGTATTTGCATCTGTTGACTTGAAGCAAGTAGTAAATCTTGTGCTCCGGGCTGCAAACTGATTACCCAAGGAGGGAACTTTTCCCTGCAGTGTTGCACAACTGGCAGTGGTTTGCTTTCCTCAGGAGAGCTCTGTTACCTGCTGTTGCCTGGTGGGAGGGGAGGGAGAGGCAAGGAAGAAGAACGAGCTCTTGTGTTTGACCAGCAGACCGTGTGGTTCACAGGCCCATAAGGACAGCAGTGCTGGGAAATTGGAGTGCTTTGGCTTCCCTTCTCTTCTTCATGCAGCTTGTGTGGCAGACAGCCCTGAACAGTGCTACCTGAAAGGGAGCAGCACCATGTGGTACTTGTGTAGGTGCTGAGTTTTTGTTCACTGGTGCTGAGAAATGATCTGAGACCTCAGGGGGAGGGTAGCATCGAGCCTACTTGTGAAGTTACCTCTTCCTGGGCTAGCCTTGCCTTCCCACAGCTCCAGCTGTAGGTGCTTTTTTTCTTCCTCTGTGCAAACCCAAGCAATCTAGAAGCATGTCCCTGCAAGGAGGTGCTGGCACACCAAGGTGCTCTGTGCTAGCTGGAGCAGTGGCAGCGTGCCTCAAGTGCACCTGGGCTGTGTAGAGGCAGGTCTTGTGCAGACTTGCTGTGTTTGTCTTGGATGAGAATAGAGGCATTCAGGTGTGGTGTAGGTTAAACATGACTCCAGTGTCTCAGAGCTGTTGCAGCTGGATCCATGTTACTCAGAGGATCTCCGTGCCATACTCTGTTTTGGAGGTCAGATGTGGTTTCAGTTTCCATGATGGTTCATGTCTCCAGTAGTAGCTGTCATCCTTTTGTCAATCAGGCTCACATGTTTAGAGGACAGGAAACGTAGACTTCCTGCAGTGAAAGATGTCTTGATGAAACCTTTAAAAGCTATTAGAAGGAAGAGCAGAAAGCCTCTGTGAAATACACCATTTTCAGCAGCAAAAATTTGGATGAGACTGTGTCTGGGCAGTGACTTCTGATTTCTCCAAGTGAGGTTATGAAGCTGAACTTGAAAAATCTTCTGTCAGGTTTACAAATAATTACAAAAAGCACCCGTGGATACAGAAGAATACAAAGGCTCTATATTATTTCAGTGCTGGGGGGGAACCAGTTCAGTTTCAGTTCCCTTGGGGGAACAGGTGTCATGCATTATTTTACCTCTCTTCAGCTTCCAGAATGCGTGGTGTTTGCATGTCTTCTGAAAATGCAGTTCCCACCAACGGATTTGTCCCGGTGTCTCAGGCCAGTGAGTGCTGACAGGATTGAGCTCTGCCTTCAGCAGCAGCATCTCTCTCTGCACTGCTCTGTCTGTCACATGGACACAAGCCTTTGTGTAGCTGCTTTTGATCTGTGGTAGGGAAGGAGGCTGAAAAGGATCTCTACCAAGAAAACAAAAGGCAGCTGTGGGGGGAGATTCACCACCTCGCTGCCCAGTGGGGCTGTTTGCCAAACTCAAGTCGGCAGAAGTGGTCCCCAAGCACAGCTTGGGGAGTGGAGTAGTGTGACATGAACCAGCGTGAAGAAACTGTGTGTCTGTCATAGCCTTCCCTCAGTACTGATAACTTCTGGTTATGTGGAAGTTGAGGCAGATGTCACCCGTGCCCTACAGGAAGGTACGACTTGCCCTGTGCTGTACTAATGAGTTAGTGACAGATGGAGCTGTAATGTCAGGCTTGAGAATAAATAGGGAGGGAGTCTAGCTGTTGGATTTCAGCACTGTCCTCACAGTTACTTTCTGTTTTCTGACTGTGCAAGTCCACTCCTGGCTATATTCTTTCAACAACGTCTTAACAAGGCAATTAGATCCCAGAGCATTCTTCACCAGCAGCCAAACACTGCTCTCATGACTTCATCACCAGTCTATGGCCAGACAGGTAGTGGTGGAAAGCTGTCTTATTTATGACCACTCTGTAGTTTGCTATGTGTGTAATTGGTGCAGGATGGTCTTGAATGTGAGAATGATGGAAATTGGTAGATCCAGGGGGGGGAACCCCTTTGGTGATGGGCACTGAAGAGGTATAGCTAGGAGAGAAACAAAAAAGAAGTGGGCTGGGAGGTGACCATGAGGGCACTGAGAGAATGGGAACAAAAAGACACCTTTAGGCATAGAAGGTGTTGAGGAATGTACAAGTGATGAGATGAGTAACGGTGTGAAACAAATTGAGAAGGAATGGCATAGAGTTGTTCCTTCTGAATTCCGGCTGTTTGGGGAACAAAACTGTGCTTCATACATGTGTTTTAATTCAAGTATAATTTCTTTTCTCCTCTCTTCCCACCTTCTTCTGTTTTAAGTGCAAAGAAAAATGACCTAATCACCATCCAGCCCTTGTGGCCAAGGCAGGAGCAAGGGTAGGCCTGCCAGGAACATGGCTTTGCCTGGAAGCTTACGGAGGCAGCCTGTAAACAGAGGCCTTGTGTCCCATTGCACCCACCATCATATTGTTGTGTTCCTGCTGACCTTCTTCAGGTAGGTTGAGTGTATCTCTGCACAGAGAAGTGTTCATCTCACTGAATATAGGGAAGTGAGAGCATGTCAAAGAAGAAGAATGAAGGTAGGGAAGTAGTCTTAACCTTTGGGTTTGAGCCTTGAAAACGAACTTATAAACTCATTTTGCCAATCAGTCTGGATTCATGCAGTTATAGAGGTAAGGGTGTTATGTCCCTGGGGAATCCAGCCAGCAAGGTGAGGCTGGCTGTGCCTAACCAAGAGCAGTCTGTTGCAGAAGAGTGAAATCCATGTCTTCCCATAATTTGGGGGTTCCCACTGCTGGCTGCTATGTCCAAAACTGCCAGTGGTCTGCTATGCTGCCTGCTGAGACAGTGTGTATCTGTATTTGATACCCCACCCTTTCCCACTTGACTACCAGAGAAGATTTGGCCAACCTGTGTCTTGTGTGTTTTCTGGCAGTTATTCCCTGCTCCATGCTTCCAGAAAGACATTCAGTAATGTCAAAGTCAGCATTTCCAGCCAGTGGACTCCCTCCTGCCTTAACAGCACGGCCCCTGAGCTCCGGCCATATGAGGTAAGGACATAAGGGATAGGGAAGTACAAAGAAAGATGGGTAACTTCCAGTGTGCTGGAACCTGTGAACTTGTGGTGCCCAAGAGGCCCCTTTAGGTGTCTGCTGGGAACACTTCTTGGAATGGGAGCAGAAACTTCAGGTGTTTGCGTTGTAGTTTTATGGATCATCAGGTGATGGTGAAATCTTTCCTAGTGTTCCCCAGAGAGCAACTCCTCAAGAAGTTACAGTGTTCCAATGGAAATGAGGACACCAGCAGAGTCCTGTAATAGCCAGCAACATGAAGGAGGGGGAAAGAGGGACCCTTCCTCGGAAGTGTTGGAGGCAATAAACCGAAGCAGTTAATGAGCTTCCAGAGAGTTCTGTGAAATCCTGGCTGTGCTTTCTCTGTGGCTGTGGTGCTGCTACCACCCTGTTAAAAGAATAGCCAAACTAGGAGAGAAGAAAGCTATCTGAGGGTGCTAGCTGCTTGTCCTAAATTGATAGGAAGGATGACATTTTATCTTGTATCTAAAAGGTCTGATTTCCAAAAATGCTGAACATCCAGTACCCCTTGTCTGTAAAATCCTAGATTCAGTGAAAGCAGTGGGAGGTTTGGCAGTGTTTGCCTGCAGGAAAGGAAGATGTATACTGCTTGGTTCTCACAAATGGGAATGCAGGAACTACCTCCTGGCTCCTACCTGTGGTGTTTTTGGGGCCATTCTTGTTTATGGTAATGCTATGTCCTGAAGCTTTTGAGAAGTGGAAGAAATCGTACATTAACAGCATGGTCACAGGCCACGAGATGTGTTAGAGCAGGGAGCTCTAAGCCAGTTGCTTGAGTGTTTGTATTAGAAATCATCAGTTCTTTGAATGTTTGACAGAAGGATGATAAATGCTGACTTTTTGTGACAAGAGAAAAGAGTAAATTGTGCCTGAAATGTGTTGAGGATTTTATAGTATGTCCCAAAGGAGTGAGCATCTCAGGGATGCCAAATTGAAACACAAGGTGTTTATATTTAGTTCTTTAACTGACATTCAGACAACTAATACATCTTGGAAGCTGTTTTGATTTATTTTTTTTTTTATACAGAAGATTTAGTGCTTGCTGGATGTTGAGGTGCATGTGTCTGATCAAGAAAAGTAGTCAAAGCAATCCCTTAGGTATCAATTTAGGTTACATCTTTTAAACTAAGTGGATGTGTAATTAGTATTGTCTGTACATAATGTTCTCCTGGAGAGATAGAATCAAACTAAAACTCATGACATTTGAGTTAGGTACATCCATAGGTCAGGTTTGGATTGGGTTGGTTGGTTTTCTAATTTGGGCATTATGATAAGGGAAGAAAACTTTGTTTTGATTAACTCTATTCAATCTCTAAGTTATCCTCAAAGCTTGCTATTTTCAGCTGATGTCACTAATCTTTGTTTGGGGACAACTGAGTCTTTTTTTTTCCCTTTTTTTGATCAAATTTAAAATAAAATGAAACTCAGGGGTAAGCACAAAAACTAACAACATTAGTGACTGGAGTTTGTTGTAAATAGTTTCCAACCAGTCTTTTTCTTCCCCTTGTTCCTTTTGTGTTCTTTCTTTTCTGTTTGTGGTCTGTCATTTCTTATTATGGCTGCTGCCACAAATACTTTAAGAGAATTATTCATTTAGTGAAGACAGCAAGATAAGTACAGAAGAGGTGCTGCACATAAAACAGAATATGCCTTTATTGTATTATTCATTAAGATGCTCATCAGTGTTTTAGAGTCAGAAGCTGTCTAACATTGCACGCTTGTTAGAAGTAGGGTTTGCTTTGCCAGTTGTTTGCCTTGATCCAGGTTGAACAAGCATTTCTTGCTGTTGGTTTGTTCACTTGCCTTTTAGAAGTGAAGCAAAGTTGGAAGTGGACGTTTTCTGCAGTATATAATGCCAGAATTGTTCCTGATTTGATAATTAAAGTGTTGGAGGAATGGGCCAGATGCTGTTCTGCTTCAGAGTTCGGATTTCCATTGAAATAGTGTAGGATGAGCTCCACCTCTTCCTGTTTACCTGTTAAAATTTTCTCTCTGTAGCTCTGGAACAGCAACCGGTTATTTCCAAATCAAGAAGAAGCAACTCTCTTCCTGGGGACATTGGACACTATCTTCTTGTTTTCCTACGCTGTGGTGAGTAAAACTAATGCCAAGCTGCTAAGCTTTGGTTGAATCTTAATGGGAAGATCACACCCACATAAAAAAGCTTAGCTCAGAGGCATATTTTTTTTTTCCCTTCAGCTTCTGTTAGTTCTTCCCATGCCTGTCACCCATGTGAAGATGCTTTTTAACAATCACAAGAGAAATACTATCACTTCAGAAGTTCTTACGCACCTGTTACCAGGGAGTGGGAGGACTAGTTCTGTCTATCCAAGCGTCCTCAGATGAATTTTTTAAACAAGAAATGTAATGAACAGCTATGAGCAGGATTTCTTTGGCGGCAGAAAAAGTGGTTAGAATGAAACTGTAGGTTGGTGTAACAGCAACATTTGGATCAGTGTGACCCTTCTTTGTCATTTTAATTCTTACAGATATCAGGTGCAAATCTTCTGGCTTTGTTTAATGCTGTGTTTTGTTCTTAGGGTCTCTTTGTCAGCGGCATAGTTGGGGATCGCCTGAATTTGCGCTGGGTTTTGTCTTTTGGCATGTGTTCCTCTGCTCTGGTGGTAAGTTGGACATAGTAGTGGGATTTAAAGATCTCTCTTAGGATTTCTGGTTAGGGTTTTACTTTAGGGGAGAAGAGGCTCTGTTTCTGTGTGAATTGGCTCATGAGCTGTAGCTGGACCTCAGCGGTCTCAAAGCCTGTGGGCAAAACTTGGTTCTGGATGCATGTACTGCATTGTCTGAAGCACAGACCTATGCTGGATGACTCACCTCTTCCTGAAATATCTATTTCTGGATACTGTGTCAGAAGGAAATTCTTAACTTTGAGGCACTGTCTAGAGACTTAATGAACAGCTTTTGTTCCAGATTGGTGTATTTGGGCTTTGCGGGACTGTTTTCTAATATAACTTAACCTCTTAGCCCACACATGTTGTTATCTTTGCTTCTAAACACAAACTTTGTTCTTTAAAGGACATGCTAACAATACCAAGCATTCATTTACTTATTTTATAATTGCTAGGAGGGCATGTATCAAAAAAGAATGTCTCCTTAAAACAAAAGGGTATTTCATCTTGAAACCATTGCAGATAAATGTGAATCAGTTTTATCTCATGGTGGTTTTCTGGTTGTTAAAGTAGTGCTAAGATGTGTGGAGTCTGTTTGATTTACCCAGTTGGCTGCAAACCCCACTGTGGCCTGTTGCACTCTGCAAACACATGACCACAAATGTGCATCAAGCACAGTGTGCCACAACGTGTGTTTATTTTGGCTACTTTGGGTTGGAGCTCTTAGTAATTTGAGACCTGGCTGTAGTATTTGTGTTAAATTTTGCGAAGATAAATGACTGCTGAGGGTTCTGTGTTTGCACAGAGCCTCATGGAATCAGGTGTCAGTACCAGGGCAGATAAAGAGGCTACTGTATTTTTAGTGTTGTTACCAAGAGTATTTGTCTCTTTCTTCTCCTCTCCCATTGTAACTGTGCTGTTTAGGAAGACAAAAGTTTTCTGGAGAGGAAGTTCCCTGACAGCACAGTTGTCTCTGGAGCTGTTTGGGCTCTGAAGCTGGAGCTGTGGTGGCTCAGCAGAGGGTGCTCTTCGCTCTGCACTGTGTCTCAAACAATGACAGGCTGCCCTCTGGCCTGGGCCCTGCATGGGACCAGCTCCCTGAAAGGTTGTTGCTTTTTTTAGGCCCCAACTCCTGCCTGGCTTTCAGCAGTAGCCTGAGAGTTTCTTCTCTGTTTCGCCTCCCCCCTCCTCTGTAGGTGTTCTTCTTTGGCACACTCACAGAATGGCTGCATTTCTACAACAAGTGGTTCTACTGCTGTCTCTGGGTTGTGAATGGCTTGCTGCAGTCCACTGGCTGGCCCTGCGTGGTTGCTGTCATGGGAAATTGGTTTGGAAAAGCTGGGTAAGTTAAGTTTTCTTTAGTGACTCACACGAGTAACAGATTGAGCTGAAATTCTTAAACCTGAAAGGCCAGCTGTTAGATCATAATTAAAGTTGGGTGGGATAAAATTTTTTTTTCTCTCTCTTTTGCGAGTGTTAAAAGCACAGGTTCAAACTTCAAAAATCCCATAGTGCAGAGTGACTGAATTTGATTTTTCATACCAGTGGAAAATTGTTTCTGTCTCCTTACCACTAAAGAGATCAAATGGAAACTGGTTCATTGTAGGTTCAACTGTCACTTTGGGACATTGCAGATGAGCTCTATGCATAGCTAGAAGAGAACATTCCTCACTTATCTATTTGGTACCCCCAAGCTGTTATGTGTTTTGTTTTAAATGAACTTCGAGTCTCTTTGAAGTGAATTGGGAAAATGCTGTAACTTTATTCATAAGTTAAAGTTCACTTGAATGTTTTATCTTTGTCTTGTTCCTAATGTCATCTCTCCTCACATTGTTTCAAATTTTTTTTTCCCCTTCTGCAGGAGAGGTTTTGTTTTTGGACTCTGGAGTGCCTGTGCATCCGTGGGAAATATCCTTGGGGCATTCCTTGCCTCCTGTGTTCTCCAGTATGGCTATGAGGTAGGTATTGCTGTCTAGCTTCTAGCTACGCCTGCATGTCTGATTGGGTTATGAGACACTAGTTTCTTACCTTGTCTTTGGGAGATAACAGGCCTATGTGTCCGGTTTCATCTTCCTGAATTCTGTGGAGGCAAGCAGTAGGCAGCATCGAAAGGCTGTTCCTTTGTGACTCTTCCAAGCTGGGAGAAACAAGCCTGAGACTTCTCTGTAAATGGGACTGATGTTACTGAAGAGCTCTAGTGTCACAGTACACCCTCTTCTGATTTGCGTGGCTTGAAGTGCTCTTCAGAGTCATCCCTCACAGGTTCTCACTTAGCTGGAGTCACTGCTGCTGGAATGGCACAGCTGCTGTCTCTGGGAAGAGGCCAGGCACGCGCTGTGTCGCCTGTGGCTGGCAGGCAAGGTTGAGTCCAGGGAGTGCAAGTGAACCAGCACATCTCACAGCGTGTGACCTGTGGGGACAGGCTGGCAGAGCTGAGCGTGTCATTCTGGACATGAAGAGGCTTAGGGTACCAATAGCAGCCTTCCAAAGCCTGGGAGAAGACTGCTGAGAAATCAGACCCAGACTTTTCCATGGGTTGCACTGTTAGAGAGGGGAAAAAGCAGTGGGTATAAAGGGAAGGAGGGATGATTCCAACTGGGCGTTCAGAAAACTATTTTGCTATGAAGTGTGTTAAGCATTGGAACAAGGGAACAGAGCCTGGAGGATCTGTCTTTGGAGGATTTCAAGACCTTATTGAACAAAACTGAACAACCTGGTCTGAATTTGATGTTTGACCCTGCTTTGAGCAGTCCTTCCAATATAGCTGGATCTCTCGCTGTGTTGAGTCAGCTCTTTCCTCACTGCTGTCACCTCAGTACACTAAAACAGCTGTCTTTCAGCCTAGATAGGGCCAAATCTGTTCAGGAGACGCAGAGATCACTTGTTTCCAAGTTTTATAAGTGCAGTCTGCATTGCCGTAGCTGTGTTTGCTCTCTGACAAGGTTGGAAAGTAAAAAGAAACCCTCGTTAGTCAGGGAAGCCTGTGTGACTGAAAGTGCTTTGAAAAAGAATCTTTTATTTATTTCTCCTCAGTATGCTTTCCTGGTGACTGCCTCGGTACAGTTTGCTGGAGGAGTCATTGTGTTCTTCGGGCTCCTGACGTCACCGAAGGAAGTGGGTGAGTGGAAGAGAGCTGTACTGTTTCAGTCCCCTCACGGAAAGCAGATCTGCAGCTTTCCATGTAATACTACTAAAAGCTCTGCTCATTCTGACAGTACTTATCCTCAGGGCTCTTACAAAATGGTGTTGCACTTCAGTGTATTTAGTGGAGCAAATGCTTTACTCTCCCCTATCACACTAAATGCCACCATGCATCCCTCATATAGAGTCTGGATATTTTTTAAAGCGACAGAAAATGGCCTGGCTCTAACCTCTCCATTAGGATGTGCCTAATTATCAGTTTTTCTTCACCTAAAGAAGCTGCAGACAAACTGATAACTGGCTATTGTAGGAGAAAAACATGGCAAGCCATGCAATAGGAAGGGAAAATAGTTTTCATCTTCAGGTCTCCCACAGCCAGTTAAATAGCTCCAGGGTTGGACGTGGTCCTCTTCTGAGAAGGTGGTAGGCAAGTCAAAGTGTAACAGGAAAACAGAAGAATGTTTGGGCTTTGTCAGGGCCGTGGAGGAGGTTTCCCAGGCGCCTGCAAAGGCTATGAAGTTGGTAGCACTAAAGCTACCATAAAGAGTGCTCATAAGAGTGCTCTGCGTCCCAGGAAGCACAGTGCAGTTTCCAGGCCTTCCACTCCAGTGGAGGCATTAACAGGCAGCAGCTGAGTACACTCAGCCTCCACAGTCAAGGGAAGTGGTATCCAGGAGCCAGGTCTGAGGATCCCAACCACTAAATAAGGGGGGAAATGCACTAATTTGTTGTGTCTTCCAACTAATGGCCAGACACTCAGAACAGACAAAGCCGACGCCAGGATCAGACAATACTTTCAAGAGCGCTAGAAGACAAAGGGTAGAAACTGGCGGCACTGCAGAACACCATCTAGAAGAGTTTCTAAGCCAAAGGAGGATGGAGGTATGGGAGAGCAAGGGAATTGCTGGAAGGTAGAATTTCTTAAAAAGAAGTGAGCATAGCTTTAGAGTGGGGAGAGGGTGAAGAGGCTGTGGTCCGTTTTTCCTGTTGCTTATCCCTTGTAAAACTTAGGCCTCCCTGAGCTTGGAGCAGATGAAGATGCCGTTGTGGAAGAAGATGCCAACAGACCTTTAATGGGCAGTGATGACGCAGATGATGATGACAGGAATTACTCTATTCAAGCAACTGACACTGACAACCAGCCGAAGGCCATTGGATTTTTCCAGGCTTGTTGCCTTCCTGGAGTAGTACTGGTGAGGACACAGATTCTTGAGTGAAGGCTGACCTACCTGTTCAACATAAAGCTGACTTTTTGTGCTGTTGGCATTCATTGATGTCATTGTTAGAATGTTGACCATATGTTGTAGTTGTTGACATCTGACTTCATATCCTGTTAAAATCTTGGGGTTGGGCCTGTTGTCCTTGTGCACATGGATTATAATACTGTCCAGGTATGTTGGTTGTGTGTTGCTCCTCCCATCAGACCCCTGCTTCATGGAGGGCATGTAATGAGCCAACAAAGGGCAGCAGAGATCCTGCTCTTTCTGCTGTGGATTTCGAAGGGAGGCCATGAGCAAAGGTGGCTGTAGGATGCTTTCTTGGTAAGGCAGATACTTGCCCTGAGGATTGGGGTTCTCACTGTTAGCTGAGCATCATACAGAGCTCTGTGGTGCTGATATTGAGGTTTAGGGTTTTTTAGTTGCCTTAAAGCAGAAAGCTGGCCAGAAAAGCCTGAATCAGCATGATGTAACATCTGGCAAAGAATGGAGGATTTTATAAACAGCTGGAAGTAAGGCCTGGTGATGCAGTTTCAACATATCCTTCTCCTGTCCCTTGTGTGAGAACTTGTACTTCTGCATCAGCAGTATTGCCCAATTCATGGATTTGATTCAGTTGAAAAATTAACCTGTCACTAAATAAACAATATTAACTTTCCACAGCAGTGGGCTGTGGTTCCCCTGAGTGCTAGAACCAGTACAAGGAAGGGGGCAGGGTGGCTGACTCAGTAGTACAGTGTGAACTGTCCACATTTGGTCATGAAGCAGAATGACTAGAGTTGTCAGGCACTCTTAATGAGTAAAGTAACGGGTGGATTGTCAGTGTTTTGAGTGCAGGACAACCACAGTTCTGCTGTTAAGACCTGTTGTTTGAGGGATGGCAAAAGAAAGCAAACCCATTTTGAGTTCCTTCCTAACACGGCTAAGTGCCTTATGCAAAATTTCTTAGGGTGGCATCTGCATTAGTTGATGTGTGACTTTTCTCATTGGCTGGAACAAAAGAGAAGAACAGCAACTGAGGTGGCTGATTTTTGTACGTTGGATTTTGAGGACGTGTTCTGCACCCTAATCCAGCAACCTGAACACCTCTGAGTCCATGAGTTTTAGCTGATGTCAGATTAGTGCCCAGCCAAATCAGGACACTATGTCAGACTGGCGAGAGACCAAGGAGCTAAGGAGAGACTGAGCGCAGCAGCCAAAAGCAGGAGGTTGTTTCAGCTGTTCAGTTTGGAAGCATGTGCTTAACTTTGGCCAAACTTTCATCTTGTCCTGGAATACTTGTCTGTGGATCATGAACGAAGCTTTCTCTTCTGGTGCTGTAAGCAGATGAGCCTTCTGAGCAGCACGAGATAGTACAGAGGAACTACTTCACATAACTTTTCTCAGTATGATCCACAGATGACTAAATCTCAAGCTTGTTTCATGTCACGTGCTTGGCTCCCTTCTCTTCAGAAGGTGAATTAAATTTTCTTCTTTTCTTTTGAAACCTGGTGTCATTTCCTCTCAAGATTACACTGAAGGTGTTTTAACCCATTGCATTCAGTGAAAAAAACCACACCTTCTTGACAGTGATTTTTGTATTCCTGGGGTCCCTTTGATGTTCAGCATTAAGCTTTCATGATGCTGTCTTCTTACGTGAAATGCAGAAGTACTTCCCTCTGAAAGCTTTAGCTGGATCCAGAGCTTTATGTGAAGAAGAATCAAACACTGTTTCCATTTCTTAAGTGCTAACTGCTCGCTGGCCCTCTTTTTGTTGCAGTACTCTTTGGCCTATGCCTGCCTGAAACTGGTGAATTACTCATTCTTCTTCTGGCTGCCCTTCTACCTCAGCAACAACTTTGGATGGAAAGAAGCAGAAGCTGACCAGCTCTCAATCTGGTATGATGTGGGAGGAATCATAGGTGAGTGAGCAAGAAAATTACATCCTCCTACAGTTGCCCTGCTAGCCTTTGGAAGTGAAAGACAGCAAATGCAGCCAGAGCAGTCGTGTTCAGTGGGATCCAGCTGTTCACTGAATATGTGAAAATTCTAGATATGTATGTGGCTGCTAGGCCTTTTTTTTTCTTAAACACTGAGTATGTGACCCCCTAAAGAGTTTACATACAATTAAAGGGCACTATCATACTCTTGAACATTACCCCCAGCTGGCATTTTTCTTTACTGACTAGGACTTCTTGAAAAGTGCTGTGTACAAAATGATGCCCCTGCTTGCTGCTTTCTTTCTGACAAGTGCCTTTGAGGGATATTTAGATCTGGACTTACTGGGTTCTGAACTGTCCCTTCTGTCAGGACAGACTTCTGTCCTTCTGTGAGGACAGACTCAGCGCAGATCTTGTCAGAGCAGGGACCAACTGTGTTATGTTCAGAAATAAAATGTAATTGCACTTGTTTCTGCTGGCTGCAAAATCTGACCCTGTTCCTCCAGAATAAAGACCATACTGTATATGTGTTTAGATTTCCACTCTTCTGTGCTCAGTGTCTTGCTTTATTACCTTGTCCAGTTAGATTTCCTAGAATAGCCATCCTTGTTTGGACCTGTTCAGGGACAGTAATTTTGCCTCTATGGCCTTTTCTATGTTAGGCCTTCTCATCACTCTAGTTTTTACCAGCAGAGCAGTTCCTACAGAGATAGCAATGATACATAAGCTGATTTTTATTGGCCTTTGGCAGTTGTTGGAATCAGTTGCACCTACCCTAAGTAGGTGAAACAGCAGGAAGTATGAGGCCCCTGTATGATAGTGCTTTTCCTGTGAGAAGAAAAAAAACCTTTTCTCACACTTTCAGTTGAAGGACCCAGCCACAATGTTAAACTTGCTTAATCCAGAGTTGTGGTGATCCTAGAGCTGTGATGATCCTATAGGGGAAGGAAAAGAAAAATGGGAGCATTGCCTAGTTGTGTGCTAGATAAAAAGAAATAATAAATTCCTGGGAAAGCAGCATGGGTAGTTTTCCCTGCTTTATCTGTTGTCTCTGTGTCCAGGGCAGTAAGGGCAGGAGACTTAGTTTTCAGGATTTTAGAGAGAATGTGTATTGGTGAGAAGGCAAGAGGCCACTGCCCTCAGTGAAATGAGTTTTGTTCAAGGTGTCAGCATCCTGTGCCTGACAGTGATTTTTGTTTTGTTTTGTGTTTTTGCAGGTGGGACTATCCAGGGCTTGATTTCTGATGTGCTGCAGAAGAGAGCCCCAGTGCTAGCAATTAGCCTGCTTTTTGCTGTGGGCTCTCTCTTTGGATACAGCCGTGAGTGTGCTCGCGCTGCGCAGCGATAAGAGGTTCATTCAGTACATCTTAGAGAGAACCAGAGCACAGCCTGTTCTAATTATGCTTTCTGGCCTTGAAACTGCTTCTGGATCAGAATGGTGCCTTTTGGTTTGTTTTGCTGAAGTTGTGGCACTGCACAGAAAGAAATCTGTTCTCTGGTTAATGAGGTGGAAAAGAATTAGCTGAGTGGTTGAATTTCCCTTTACTGGTGAATTATGGTCCTGATCCTTCTCCAGTGTCAATGTGTTAGCATTGTCATTGTGTCAGCACCACAACTGGCAAAGCAAGAAATCTCAGGTGCTTCCCTACAGTAAGAGGAAAGAGAATCTAGGGACAGATCTGTGCTGGGGTATATATACATGACACAGGGCAAGAGAAGCTCTTAGACTTCACCTCTTACACTTCTGTAAGTGGTGAAATTGGAGAGTTCTTACCTCTTTTGTAGTAGATGTAGTTCTTGGTGTTTCATTATTGAAAGAAGTCTGTCAGGAAAACTTAGTACAAGGAGTTGGGAAGATACCACTTCTATGAAACCTCCATGAAGAACTTCTAAGTGTGACAGTTTTGTGTGTTCAGACAGAGCATCCTGTGGTACCAGAGCGATTTAACTCACTGCGATGTCTTTTCACTTCCTCCAAAATGGGGTGGTGATACAGACAGGCTTCCGTAGGACTTTGAGATCTCAAAATGTACTACTGTCCAGCCAGATACAGAATTCTCAGACAGGTGATCCAAAGTTCCTGCAGTGTGATAATTCTATTTCCGTCAGCCAAACCAGGAAACCATTTTATGCCCATGATGTGTTGCATATAATAGTGATAATAATGGCCTGGGAAATACGTGAAGGGGTTGCAACTTGCCTTATGTGTAGTAACTCAACTAAACTGAAGTGAGTAAGGAATTCAGGAAATGCCTGAAAGTGAGATATCAGGGAAAAGAGTATCTGAAAAGCACTAAGGGACTGTAATGGAAAGCCAGCTGCATGTACACGTGCTGCTGGAAATACAAATGGAGGTTGTAGATGCTCAAACATGGCTTTGTAAGGAGGAGTTGGGATATGGGGTTTTGCATTTTTTACTTTACTGTGCAGCATTGTTTAGGCTGGATTACTACCTCCAGGTACAATCTGTGTATTTTAAAAAAATGTTTTGGAAAATTCAGAATGAATGGAAGGGCTGATTTCAAGTACTAAATACTTTTATGGTGAGAGAGCTTGAACTGAGTCTGACTTCCCCAGAGAGACAGAGGAAGGATTCTCTTACCATTCAAATGGACTTTCAAGGAGAGTAAATGCAAGCTCTGTGTCACAGACAGAGGCGTAGCACAGACTGAAATACAGAGCCAGGCAAATCTGATGTTGAAGTAGGCCACAAAATTTTAATGGCAGAGATGATTTTTCTACTGTAAAGTGCTCTCAGGAAACTTCTGTGTGTTTGGCCTCTAAATGTCTTTGCAGTAAGACTCACCTCTGTAGAAGTCTCTGGTCAAACAGAAGTTATTGTTGTCACTGTGTAACAAACTTAGCAGGCAGTTCAAAGTAGACATGTCCATACTTCTTTCTGAACTGAAGTGAATGGTTTTCTCAAGTTCACTTGTTTTATTTAGACTCATCTGATCTTTCTCTTGCAGGTTCCCCAAACAGCAAACCTATCAATGCTGTGATCATGGCAATTACAGGTATCTTATCAAAAGCCACTGTTATGCTAATAGACATCTGTATCCACTGCAGAACAGTCAATAACACCAGCCAGGTGGTGGTAAAAGGTGTCTGTGTGTGCTGCAATCTCTGCTGGTTTTGCAGAAGGACTGAAAGCTGGGGCCCAGTTTCTGTTGCCTTTGGAAAACAGCTCTAGGAAAACTGCTTTACAGAGGGAGGTATAGAATAATGGCTTGGAGCTGAGGGGATCTGCCTTGGCTCAGTATGACAGAGATGGATTTACGGTAAAGTACCTGGCAGTGATCTGGTATCTGAGGAAGTGGATATATGGCAGAGTCATGAGCTGCAGCTCAAATTTGTCAGAACCCGGAATACTTTGTGTACTGTGAGAGGTCACAAGGTTTTTGTGCTACCAGACATACTGTGCTGTGTTATGGAATTAAGATTAGCCTGCATGAATAGAGCCTTTCTTTCCAAACACTCCTACTTTGAGACTCCCTGTCCTGTTGTTGTGGGGTTTTTTTGCCTTCCACCTCTTCCGTGAACCCTTAGAGACAGAGACTGTAGCATGGGGGTGTACTAGTCCAAAGCAGTGAAAGTGTTCTTGTTGGCAGTTTCTGTGTTGGTACTCCAGCTGTGCAGTGTGTTCCATGACTGTCTGCTTCACCTGCAGTTAATCAGTGAGCACTGTCCTTTGACTTAATTCTTTTCCTGAGCTTTGTTTTGAAGATGCTCTGTTGAGAATTTCAGTGTTTGTTTTGCACCAAGGCTGTTTTCTTGTCACTCTCAGGATTTTTCATCGGAGGCCCTTCTAACATGATCAGTTCTGCAATTTCTGCTGACCTGGGGCGCCAAGATCTGGTGAAAGGCAACAGTGAGGCTCTGGCAACAGTCACAGGAATTGTGGATGGAACTGGCAGTATTGGTGCTGCAGTGGGCCAGGTGAGGCTACCAAAGGAAAACAGAGGTCTGGGGAAGGAAGCAAAGAGTCTGTTGTGGTTAGACATGTTAGTGCATTCCTCAGTCCAAAGTTGTGTGGGAAGAGGGAGAGAGGGTTGGGTTGGTTTTTTAAAATAATTACTTACTTAGGATCCAACCAAGGGAACCTCTCTGATTTATCAAGGTTTCCAGTGGAAGCAATTAATTAAGAACTAAACTAAGTATTCATAGTGCTAATGTTATGGCACTTTCATAATTCAAAGGAATTTTGGAGACTTTCACACCCTGAACTCCAAAAAGCAATTAAAGGCCAGCTTTGCAAAGAGTGAAAATAAAATGTTTTGACATTTGCTTGGGATTTTTTGTTTAAAGATGATAGCAAAGCGTTTGCTTACAGAAAAGTTTACCTGTACAACTGCGTAAAATTGGAATACCTGTTATGAATGTTACAGTGTTTATGAAGTAATTTAAAATTTACTCTTATTTGTGGTTCCTCTCTGCATCTGTGGATGTGTTTAAGCCCTGTAAATCCAGCACTACTTGCTTCAATAGTCAGTATGCTGCCAGAGGTCTGAGGACTAGACTGTTGCAGAGAAGGGAGCTGACAGTGTGCCCACTGGGGATGTTCCTTCTTCTCACAAACAAGTGTTAACTATGTGAAAGAACACAGTGGTGCTTTGAGGAGGATTCAGTAGAAAGATCAGAGCCAGTTCTATTCCAGGCATCCTCTAGTGATGGTAAAATACCAAGGACGCAGGCAAGGCATGCGAGTTTCTTTTCTAGAAAGGGATTTGGGTTTGTACTTGCCATTGATTGCCTGATAAATAGAGTTGTTCAGTCTCTGTTTGATAGGATAAATGCTGCTTAGATCCTTTAAACATGGAAAACTACAAGTGCTCTGTGGACATACATAAGTGCACTGTTACACTCAGTGTTCTTCTTGCGTCGTCTACAGTGTTTCTGTCTTCCCACACACATACCGTTCAGACTTACGTCATCATAAAAATTGGGTCTCTAGTTCTGAAAAATTCCACCTGCCTCCCATTCCAGCACTGCATTTATTCCAGCGGAGACAACCATGATGTCATTCCGGGGGTGTGTGAATAACAGCAAACGCACAATGAACGTGTTAGAAATTCAGATCCTGTTCTGTGCTGATATACCCAGTAGGGAAGAAGGGAGGCCCTTGTGCAGCATCTGAATATAAATCTGCTAATAGGGAATATATTTCCCTCTGTGGCCTGTGAAGCCTTGTTGAACCAGAGTGCAGTTCAAAACAGACTGTAGTCTTAAGTGTCTTGCCTGCGATGGAGGGTTAAGTAGTCAGTGGTTGCACAGCTCTTGAAAATGTGTCCTGTGTAATTTATAAGCCATTCTAGAGCTTTTAGTTCTTCTGAGAGTACTTACACCCACTTATGTCCCAGTGTTCTGTGCAAAAACCTTGTATTCGGTGGAGTCAATTTGTCACCCTTTGAAGCTGTAGTTCAGTTCTGTCTTTATGCTGCTCTGAGTTACTGGAAAGCTTCAGGATAGTGTCTGCTTTACTAACACTGTGGGTTTTATACAGAAAAAGGCTGCTCTCCTGAGTCATCTCTTCTGATAGGAAAAGATCAGCTGGAAGGTTTTGTGATCAGCTCTGTGTGGTGTGCTAACAGCCCACAAGTTCTAGAAAATGAAAGTGTCATGCCTGAAAGTCATCCTTATCTTCCCAGTTTGAATGACTTTGGTTTTTTCCTTTCTATTTAGTATCTAGTGTCTTTGATCCAGGAGAACCTGGGGTGGATGTGGGTTTTCTATTTCTTCATTCTAATGGTAAGAAACCATCTTTTTTAAAAACTGTTTGTCAAAGTTGAATTTGCAATAGAAATGTTTTGTGAGAACCTGGAAGTTGTGACTTAGGGACAGACTCTGCAGCACCTGTGACCTCTGATGCTGTTCTCAAAGTGGTCTGTGGTGTGGCTTTGCCTCAGGGTGTCTAAAGGCTTTGCCTCAACTGTTGTAGCTCGGGATCCTTAAAAGTCATGTTACCCAAGAGGAACTGAGCTTGTGGCAGAGACACAAAAATACTTGCCTAAAAATGCCTGTACGCATTTCCTAAAGCTCATGCCACCTGACTGACTTCCAAGGCAGGAGATTTCCCTTCTTCATCTCCATAGTACGTAGTTCCTAATATTTTCAGAGAGCTGAAGTTAAGCTACTCGTTTATTAGCCCTTGAAGCACTTGGAGGGAGTGATGAGGATCTGAAAACTAAAATGAAAATGCCTTGCCCTGGTGTGCCACTAGGGGAAAAGACTGTTCAGGCCCTGACCTCCTCATCATCTCCACAGTGGTGAATGCTGCACGATTCACTTGGTCTTCCCTGCCGGAAGTGCCAGGAATTGTCTTTGCATCTGTGCTGATAAGGGAAAAGGCTACTTTGGTAACCAGCAGAGGTGGCAAGGAGGAAGGCCACTGAAGAGCTGAAGAGCTCATCTTTATGACAAGATGATTATGGCAGCTGAAATTGTATGAGCTTTCCTGCAAGCTCAGTCCTTCCATCCGCTGTGTCATTTTGTCATTGCTTCTCTTAGCCTGTGTCTTTCTTGGGTGGCCTTGGATGCGTGTTGGGATATGGGATGGCTGCAGCTCTGGTTTCTCTGTGCTAATTGTCCCGGATATGCTTCTTTTCACAGACGAGTTCAACAATCCTGTTCATTTCACCGCTGATAGTGAGGGAGATCAGGCTGCTTCTGCATGAGCGGCGCCTGCGAATGCTGGCAGAGTGACTTCTGCTTGCCTCTGGAAGGACTGTTGTATGGAACTGACAGCTGGAACTCTAATCAAAACTCCGGGAGACTTGTTTCTTACATCCTCCAGGTCTGGACTAATTCAAAATGGCTCTATAAGACTTGACTGACTTGCCTTTGGTGAGCTCAGTGGTGAGGTACCGAATACCCGTCCTGAGACCACCTGCGTCATGGAGCTGCTGACCTAAGCCAGACAATCCATGGGACTGACGGATTGTCCCAGACTCTTCCATGCCAGCAGCCGCACTCGGTTCTTCTGATGGGTGGTCTCACTACTATACCCTTTCTTATTTATTTCTGGATGTGCTGACCAAAGGTCAGCTGTTTAAAACTGACGGTTTTTGAGAGGCTGCCTTGCAGTGAATTCTGATGCTCTGTCGTGCTGGTGAAATCATCCAGTGCAGTTCATGGGTAGGCTAAATTTACGATCACTGAAGCTTTTAGAAAGGGCAAAAGTAATTATTTGGAATTTACACAGTAATTTTTGTTTAAAAACTGCTGTTGCTAAATCTGTGCACAGATGGACCTCTGCTATCCCTAGCTATTAATTTTTACATATTCTAGTAGAGTCACATGGAGAAGTCACCTCCATATTTGTTTTTAGCAATTTTTAATACTGTAACTAATCTGAGAAATGAGATTTCATTTTTTTTTAACTATTTAAGCAGACAAATAGTGTGCAATACTTTACTATGATCTCTGAAATAAGCCTTAATAGATCCTTTGTGTCTAAAGGATACTTGAGTGGCTTCAGGGTTCAGTTATGGGACACTTTCACTACAGCTTTGTCTATTGAACCTGATCAATACTGACCAAAATGGGTCTGTCAGGTGACCCTCTGAAGGAAACTGATGTCACTGACTTCATACTTCTTGGACAATTGCTCATCTCTAGCAACGAAGGACCAGAATGGAATTAAAGGAATTTAAGGGACCTGGCTGCTCTTGGACATAGGCTTCCAGACAGGGACTGAAGTGTTCTCGTGGAATAGCATTTATGAGCAACTGCTGCTGTGTTTCCTCCATGCTACTCTGCCTACAGCTGTTTAGGGGACCTCAAGCTCCAGGGTTTGAAAGCTTGAGCTGTGTATCTTGAAGGGAAAGGTAGAGGCAAATCAGCATTAAAAAACATGTGGCTACACTTAGTGTGGTGGTGTTTGAGTGCTTTGCAGTGCTGCAGGAGGTAGGGTGACCGACTGACACCTCTGACATTTGTTGGTGATGTCAAAGGGATCGCCGAGTAAGTTCTCAACAAATTGTTTTCTGCTCATGCCTCGGATGTTTCATTGTAATAGGTATGTGTTAACCTGCAGAACTTCTGACCAAACACATGGGATGGGGATGGGCGACAGCAAAATTCTTGGAGCTGAGAATTTGAAACTTTTTAAATGGGAACAGTTGCCTTTTTGACTTGTACAGTGATTTTATTTTATTTTTTAATTGATGAATGTCAGTTTTTAGTCATGTGTTGATTGTAATGAGAGGAACATCATTAGTGCCTTACGGTTTTAGAGTATTGAACAGTTGCTTGGTGATTGCTGCTTCTGCAGTGATGTCTCCATGCAGCTTTGCTTAATGTGAAACTCGGTTGCCCCATTTTGTACTTTTTTTGGGAGTCTTTCTTTCTTTCTTAATGTAGGTGATTCTTGCATCTTTCTGCTAACCCTCAAAAAATTTTAGTGCTTGGGAAAATGATGCCATTAAGCTGCTGTGGGACCTGAATCTTGTTCTTGTTTCTTCTCATTCCCATTCCAATTTTTGCCTGTATAATTAGAGCAGGAGACTGAGAATCTATCATCCTGTTCTCAGAATTACGCCCTGGGGTTAGTGTTCACATCCCAAGCTACTCATTAGCCCCTGTACAAATAGAATGAAAACTCCCTGAAATTTACTTCTAAAATTGATGGCGGCACCGTTTGCCCCAGCCATGGCGTCTGAGAATCTCTGGTTTCAAATTCCAACCTGGATGAGCTTTTCGGTCGTCTGGGCAGTAGATAAGCTGCTGATGAAAGGTTGGGTGGGAAAGGGACGTCGCCAGGGTCAGGGGGGAGGAGAGGCCAGCCCCTGTAACAAATGGCTTCCTGTAAACAGTTCTGTCCCCTCTGGAGAAGTGTCAGATATGATGCGAGCACTGCAAGCACAGGCAGCCCAGCCGCTGCATCCAAGTGCACGGCGGTGCTTTGAGGCCACCCGCAATTAGGGAGGCTTGCCTGTGGCTTCGGGATCGTTGTTGTTGTTGTCCTCGTTGTCCTGGGTTTTTGGTTCTGTGGATTTCCTCAAGGTGCTCGGATGGAGAACAGTTTTCAATCTGGTCATGTCCAAACTGATCTCACGTGAATAAACTTACTTTGACTTGATCTGGGCTAGTTCTTCCATGTGCTTTATTCCACTCTTCCCGGTGTGGTTCTGCAAAGCGTGCTTCCCATCTTCCTCACAGGCCTGGCTTTAACAGCTGCTTCTCAGTCAACTGCTGTGAAGACCCAAGCCCTGACTAATGCTGAAACCGAACCCTCATCCCAACCTAAAATGGGACCGTGTTCCCACATGCTGTGGTTTGGCACTCTGCCTGATCAGGCTCACAGGAAGTTTTGTGGGAGTCCCCTAACACATGTCCATAATGGTGTAAGCAATGATCTTAACTAAAGGAACCAGTACATATACTTGGTTTTATTAATTTATTTCTTTGTTGATCTGCACGTAAAAGTCAGGTGTTCTTCCCTTGGAATTAAATGTGCGATGTGGCTGTGGGCCCTGCTGTGCCTCCTCTCCTGTGGCTTGTTTCTTTTAACACAAATCCACACCTACACTTAGCTGTGTTTAAATGGACACAGCAGGGAACTTGGTAATTGTGTTTGTGTTTTATAATTTACCATAAATTCAGAGTTGAGCACAATACCAGGTCACTGGAGAAACTTCCATGCTTGCACATTCTGGTCCCTCAACTCCCAGTAGTTTAGTGGTGCTATGGTGCTGTTCCTCAAAAAAACTAACAGTTCATATTTTTACCTCTTTTCTGTCACTTCTTTTTCCAACTTAGTTTTCAGGAACTTTCCAACCTACTCTGGAAGTACTCTGAGGAGTAAAGCTTTGCTTGAGTATCTACTTGAAAATGCAGATAGGACCAGTCCCCATCACCCCCTCTGTGACTGCGATCTCCAGAACTGAATGTTTGGACAAGCCAAAGTGTAGGAATTACTTAACTTCAGAGTGCAGAGGAAACACATTAGGAACTAATCTCTGAGTGGCTAGGCTGAACACCAGGATGTGACAAACTGACCAAGCTGGTTGTGAAAGAAAAGGTGTGCTTCAGCCCCACAGTGCTTTTTTGTATCAAGGAAGGTCCTTACAATAGATGCCCTACAAGCAATGCTGCTGCATCCTGATTTTCTTGGAAGTCTGGAACACAAATGGTGTGGACATCTGCCTGGAGGCAGTACCACAGGGCTCTCCAAAGCAGGGAGAACTGGGCTTCTGCTCCAAGTGCTGGGCAGCCTTAGAGAGCATGTGAACAGCTTGTCCTTACCAAACCCAGAAGAACAGCATTCCCTTCTGCAGGAGAGTGGGAGTAGAAGCAGCAGTGTGATTTAAGGGTTGTTTTTTTCCCCGAGATAAAAGGAGAAAGTGTTTTGAGGTAGTCCCACAGATCTCACCAGTTCAAGCAGTGGCTGCTCAGGGATGTCTCGGACACAGCGCTCTTTGATTAGTCTCCTGTAATTTTGCTCTCTATGCAGCAGTGACCAAAGAGCTCTGCCAAACCTGTTTGCAATTTCTCCCCTCCTCTTCTTTTCTAGGTTCTTTTCTAACTGGAAGTGCCTACAGGGATGTTTTGGGTTCTGTATTGCAAAAGTTTTCTAAGGCACAGCATGCCCACCTTCCTGCATCTTTGTCAAGCCTTATCTAATCCTTTTAGTAAACAGCCTCCCGCTCTGAAGAGAGCTGTAAATACAAGCTCTTAGGCCACTGTGTGGGGCTGAATCGGGGCTCTGTGTGATATGTACACGCCCACACAAGCCCACACACCCATACCTGAAAGCGTGCAAGGCCAGGCTGCATGAGGCTCTGAGCAGCGTGGTCTAGTGGAAGATGTCCCTGCCAATGGCAGCAGGGTTGCAATTAGAAGGTAATTAAGGACCATTCCAACCCAAGCCTTTCTGTGATTCTATTAAAGCCTTTCCTAAATGAGAGTTGCTTGGATGTGTATGTACAGTAGTGAAAAGATGAATTTAGGCAATTGCTGGGAATGTTTCCTTTGGTTCTCTTGTGCTGGTGATGATGTTTGTTTACACCTGGATCCCAGAAGGAATGTCTCCTTTGACCAGGTCTGCAACAGCATGCAGGTGTTGATGAAAACAAATGCAACGGGCAAATTGGAATGTGTTCCTGGAGCCCAGGAGCAGAGAGCAAGCTTTGTGGCTCTCTTCTTAGGTTTAAAAGTACTGCCAGGAGAAGGAAGACTGCTGCTGAGATTACAGAAACTCAGGTAAGCTATTGGTGGACAATCTGTCTTGTTTGGGAATAGATTTTGAAGCAGCAGGTGGCAGTTGGTGGACCTCTGGGTGAGTTGGTGAAGTCTGTGTCCATTGGTGTTCTTGCTCAGCTGTGAAGGATAGAAAACCCATCCACCTTGTCCTTGTAAGCCATGTAAGTAGCAGTAGAATCCAGAGTTTACCAGTGGAATGACAGCAGTTAAGGGTGAGATTACTTGTATGTGCTAATTAAGTCGTCTTTCTTTATAATGCAATAAGCAAAATATTGGGGATATGGGATGGGTTGATTTCTGTGGCCTTCCGGATTCCAACAACAGCTCAGAGACCTCCTGTACTGGGACACCTATATCCTTACTCTTTTCTCCATTTGTCATGTGGGAATGGTTTCTAGAAACTCACTCATCCACCACGGGGGCACGTGGCAGAGAAAAACAACACTGGGCTGACAAAAGCCGGTGTTTGCCTGCAATGGGTGCCGGAGATGACAAAGCAATTGGGCTACGGCCGACTGGGCTATTCAGCCGGAAGGATGGGAGTATCCGAGAGGCAGTTTCACTGGGGCTGGCGCAACTATCCATTCACCTCTTCTTCAGTCTCTTTGCCCTCTGCTGTAACTCCTGCACCCTTCTGGGAATATTAATGTTTCATTTCTTCCAGTCAGAAACAGGTTCATCCCAGGACTGTTTATCAAGGCATGGCAGCAAGTAGGGCAGACGGCAACAAGCAGCGGCGGTTCCTCCTGTTGAATGCAAAGGAGCTGTTCCCTGAGGACGGGCACAAAGTTGGGAGCCCTGCCTGTGAGAGCAGGAATGCGTCAGCAGGAGTGAGTTGTGAATCAGTGCACGCCTCCAAAACGTCAGGTGAGCGCGAATGCAGGGCTGGGAGAGCCTCTGCTGGAGGGAGCTTTGTTTCTGTGCACATCTGTGGTGCCATTTGGGGCTACGGGAGCTCCCAGGCCAGTTTTTAAAGATTGTCTTGGCCCTGTGTGCTCAGGCAGCATCAGGGCTGGTTTCTCTGAGGGAAGGAGGAAGGGCAACGTGGAGCCATGGCCCCAGCAAGCTGGCTGCCAGCCTGGTTATAAGGGAATCTGGCCTTTGCTCCAGGATGGCAAAATCCAGATTGCTTTACATGCCTGGTTCCACTGTACTTTGCCATCTGCTTTGGCCACTGTTTCGAACTAGGTTTGCTGACTCTTTTATTTGCTCTTTTTTTCCTAATTCCACTGTTTTTACCTCAGTTTGCCTGTTTGGCCTCGAACGTGCAGGGCCATTTTTTCAGTCCCCAGTCCATTTTCTTTGCTCCAGCCTTTGTGGTAGCTTGTCTCCAGGACTGGAGAAGGAGCCAGTATTTTCGGTGCTAACAAAGTGAGCATTGTAATGCAGTTGCAGAGTGGGTGGATGTGATTGCCGACAGACAGATGTATTCCTTCTGCTAGGGTGTGGATTAAGGCTCAAGGTGACTTTGTTCCTGCATAAATTCACTAACTTTCCCCGGGGAACTGAAGGGGCAGGGTTGCAAGGGGAGAATTATGATAAATGAAAGTGTCGGAAGGAAATGCGCTTACATAGCCCGTGCTACCAAAGCATAAATGTGTGCTCTGTGAGGAGCTTTCAACATAGCTTAAGGTACCACTCCGTGGGTTAAGAAAACCTAGGATGCTGTTTAGCTGGGAAGTTGAGTGCGGCTCCCTGCAGGCTGCTCTCCCACTATAATTACCTGGTTAAGTGGATTAGTGAGCAGCAGCATGGCTTGTTTGGGGTTAGGCAGGCACTGAGGGAGCGAGGAGGGCCCTGTTCCTCACAAGAGGATGAGACACAGGCAATGTTTGCTGCAGGAAACAGCGTTGCTCTCTACCAGTCAGACTTGTTTGATGCTGAAAGCTGTGGCTGACGGTTGAGTTGTCATCGCGGGGGCTCATTGGAAGGGTCCCATGGAAACAGTTCCTTTCAGAGCTATCACTTGTCCTTATCTACCGCGAGGTGGGTACGGTGACAGCAAATCACATCTTGGGACACTTCTTCTCTGCCTTTGTTGCCATGGGAATCAGTGTCTTCCGCATCTTTGTCTTCTGTGAAAAAAGAGAAGTATTGTTACCTCCCCTGGCTTGCCCACCAAAATGTGCCGAGGATGAGAGGGGGGTTGTGGTCAGCCACAGAGCGCCTGGAGTAAACCTTCATTCAGAGACAAGGCTGTGAGGTCACTTGGCTTAAAATCTCACCTGGCCATGCAGGTCCCTCTGCAGTAGTTGCCACACCTGCGCTATGGGGTGGAGACGCAGAGCACAAAGCGGAGAGGCACACTGGGCCAGGTGGCCCTGTTCCACTCGCCCTGGGTGCCAGATGCTATCAGACCTTGCCAGAGTAACAGGGCTGGAACCTGCCCTTGCATCCGCTCCATGGTTAGGTGGAAGAATCTGGGTCATGTAGATGTCTGACATGCCAAAATATGACATCGGTTCAAAAGTCTGGCATAGCCCAGGGATTTGAATGTGGGAGCTCAGGTGGGGTCCCCTGCCTTTGGGGGTGTTGTAGGGGAGGGGCAGAGGTGCACCAGTTTCATAGGGAGAGGTGCCGTGTTTCATCTCCCTGGGTGACTGAGCAGCCCCTGGCAGGGATGTGGGAGGCACGCAGCTGGCCTCTCACAACCAGGAGGCGAAGGCCCTGTGGAGCCACTGAAGGGACTCAAGGAGTTCCCACGGAGCAGGACCACAGTTGGGTTCCTAACCCAGCATCTGCATCTCTCCTGTGCTTCAGCTCACTTGATCAAGCCCATATGAGTGTGGTAGGAAGCTCCTGGATCTGTACCACATCTCATCCCTTCCTCCCAGCCCACGATAGATTGTAACTGATCTCTATTTCAGTTACACTTCT